TTTCCCTACAGCAGCTGTCACAGTCCGCATGCACCTAGTTTGTCTGTTTCCCTCCAGTAGCAGAGACCTACCTGGTCTCTCTTGTTCACTGCTGTGACCCAGTACCTGGCATAGTGGCTGCCGTGTAGTAGGTACTCAAAAATATTGAATGAATGAATGGGGGCAGAGTGGGAGAGAGGGGGAGTGTTTGGGATAATCTGAGAGGAAGGAAAGGGAGAAACGGGATGTGGGAGAGGTGGGAAACAGAGGCGGTGGCGGGGGGTGGCAGGGGAGGCACTAGATGGTGAGAGGGAAGAAGTCTCACAAGGGAGACGACGGGGCCAGGGGCCAGGGGTGGGCGCTAGGGGAGAGTGAGACATCACCTCCTCCGGGAGCCAGGGTGAGAAGGACTTGATCCTTAGGCAAGTGTGAGACCCACATGAATAATGAATCCAGGCATATCCCCTGAAACACAATCTCTGGCTCCAGCCCAGACCTCCCTGCCCTGTGCCCTGAGGATGCCCACTACCCAGGTCCTGCCCAAAGCCACAGCTACCACCCCCCTTTCTGGGCAGGACTCCTTTCTGGGTGGAGGCCCCTAGACCTCCACCACTCATACAAAGGGACACTGGCCTACGCATCTGGTGGGGAGCTGGACAGAAACCAGGCCCTCCTACTGATCAGCTGAGTAACTGACTGTGATTCCTGAGTTATGTCACCTCTCTGAGCCTCAGTTTCTTCTTCTGTGAAATAGGTATGAGGAAAATGCCTGCCCTACCTCTCACGAGGCTGTGGAAAGTCGTAAGTTGCACAGCGATGGGCAACATTAAGTGCTAGAGTGGTCTGGGAAGTCCTTCCTATAGTCTGGCCTCTCCCTGTCTCCCACAGTCCTGCCCACCTTGATGGTCAACATGATGTGTGTTTGGCCCTTCAGCACCTCCACGGCTTGGCTGTGGCTGATGTCGTCGAACCTGACACCATTGGCCGCCAGGACTTGGTCCCCCACCTTGATGCCGTTCTCCTCGGCCAGTCCACCATGGTCCACTCTGGGGTCAGAAAGGAGGCATTCTGATAGGCCACCCGGCTGCTCTCCCTCACCCTATTCCAGACTCTTCACTTGCATACAGGGATACACCAGTCAAACCCCTTGACCCTCCTGCTGGTGACCCCCAACCCCCTCTCCAGATCCCATCCCTGACCTAGGTCATTGGCCAGGACTCACTTGCTGACCCATCCCCAGGTTCCAGCCCAACCCCTGCCCCAGCCCTCACTTGGACACATAGATGCCCAGGCCAAACTCCTTGCCCCCGCGGATGTTGAAGCCCAGGCAGAAGTCGTCAGAGGTTGTGTAGAGATGGACGATGCGCCGTGCGCCGTCCTCTGAGCCACTGTCAGAGGGCGTTGAGCTGCACTTTTCCACCACCAGCCGCCGATTGACCACATCCACCCTGGACAACAGCACGGGGCCCTCAGCCTGGGCCCTCATCCACCACCGGCCACCCCCTCACCTCCCAGCAGCCAAGACAATTGCATAGGAAAGGCAGGGCTGCCTCTGGGGGACTCCCAGACCTGAGATCTTCACTGGGACATAGATTTCATCAAGTCAGGGAAACCATGCAAATCTCTCTTTATTGAGCAGCTCTAACTGCCAGGCCCCATTTCAAATCCTCCCCGGGCCCCAAGGGAGAGGCCCTGTACTGGCTCCTGGCTCACAGCCGCAGCATGGAGGGGCAGGGCCACTGGGGTCTGAGACAGCAGAGTGTTGAGAGGAGGGCTTGGGGAAAGAAATGGCCTTTTCTCATTTCAAGGTCAGGCTGTCGGATCACTGTGTTTCCAGTGCCAGGGGATGGGAAGAACAGAAGCCATACTAGCCAGGCCCCCGGCTGAGCCCTGTGCCATTGGCCTCTCCCTCCGCGGCTTTGGGTGGTGGTGCTGGGGTGGGTGGGGTGGGACCAGGCCTGCTCACCATGTGGTCTTCTCTTTGGAGAACTTGATGCCTGGTACGCGGCCCATGCGCCTCACCATCATATGCAGGCGGCTGCTGCCCGTCAGCACCTTCACAGCACTGCCCATCGTGGTGCTCTCCAGGCTCAGCCCATTCACCTCAGTGATCTTATCACCCACGCACAGACCAGCCCGCTCTGCACCAGGGGAGGCATGGCTGGCATGGGCCACTTGGGAGAAGTCCCCCAGGTTGAGGCTGAGCCTCTCCCATCAGACTAGGCTCCCTGGGGTAAAACCTCTTTGATGAGATTGGGATCCCCAGGTAGGGTCTCAGTATCTGCCATCAGACAGGGACCTACCTGTTCATTAGCCCCTTCCATCTCCCCATTGGATCAGGCCCTCCAAAGCTGAGGGCCCTCTCCTCTTATTCTTGACAACAGCATCTCCGCACCCCACCAAAGTGGGGGTCACGTCCGAAGCCAGGACCTGGGCCCCACTCACCTGCACTGCTCCCCTTCTCCACTTTGCTGACGAAGATGCCCAGGCCGTGCTCAGAGCCGCCCCGCACACTGAACCCCAGCCTCCCAGCTGGGCTCTTCTCCACTCGAACTGCATGGATGATGTCACTTTCATCGCTGTTGGCTGTTGGCGTAGGGACACAGGCATGACTCCCCTGCCCATTCTGGGCACAGAGGGCCCCTGGCCTCCCCAGCTTGGGGCCTGCGAAGGCTGGGTTGCTGGGCACCGGCACCCAGGGCCCTAAATGAGGGGGTAGGTAACTAATTTCTGAGTCCTATCTGGGTGATTTTGACACCATGGGCCAGGGAGGGTGTGGGAGCAGGCAGGACAGGACTCCATGCTAGAAGACACTGTCCTCCTTTCCTCATAATGCAGGGTCTGTGTGTGTGTGTGTGTGTGTGTGTGTGTGTGTATCTAATCCTTACTAAGCTACCCATGACCACAGGCCTGGGATAGGCCAAATTCTGAAAAATCCTGCCACTCTGAGAGTCAGATGGATGGGAAAGATGTTCAAGATTCCATTCTACGAGGCACAGTTGAGGGAGTCTGGGCTCTCCAGCTTGCAGTAGAGATGAGTATGGTAAGTCTATATTCAAATAGTTGAAGAGCTCTTCTATAAAAGGCATTAGCTGTTTTTGTCTGTGTAATCCATAAGGCAGAACCAAGCCCACGCAGTGGAGTTATATGGAGGAAGATTTAATAGGGAAAACTTTCTAAAACCTTCAGTTGGCAGACAATGGAATGAATTTTCCGAGGAAAGGTAGTGAGTTTCCCATCACTGGAGGCATACAAGCTGATACCTAGTAAGTCCCTGTCTGGGATGTTGTGGAAGGATCCCTGAGGTCCCTTGTATCTCATAGACTCTGTGATCCTGGAGGTGAGGGCTCTAGGAGCTAACTGACTACATGAGGAAAGAAACTCAAACCACCATGCCTCAGTATGTGCCCAGAGCACAGAAGTGGTCCTCTCCATCAGTGATGGGGAAAGTCAGAGGAGGGGGTCCTTAGGGACTGGAGCTGTCGGGGAAGGTTTCTTGGAGGATGGGATTTGGATGGGTGGAGGGGAAGGGAAAGGTACTGATGAGGGGATGGAGTGAGCAAAGGCTCAGAGGTGGCCTTTTGGTTAGAGAAAAGCGAGGGGACTGGAGGGGTAAGTTGGGTCCCAGGTGGGAAGGTCAGAGTTCTTCTTGGGGAAGGCTTACTCAGAGGTGTTTGAGAGGAGAAATAACACACACACACACACACACACACACACACACACACACACACACACACACACTTCTATTCGATCTAAGAGAAATCAGGTTACAGTACATGAACAGGGAAGCTCAGGAAGTAAACCCCAAGGGCAGCCTGTAGGTGGGGACAGTGCAGGATAGAGGTGTGGGAGATGCTGGGGCTTCCTAGCTGATTCTATCTGCACAGGTCCCAGGACTTTCTCAGCCCAGACAAGGAGGCTTTTGCTCTCCTGCCCTCCAACCCTCTTTCTCCTCAGTCTCTCCTCGGGGGGCCTCCCTAGGGCCCTGGGCCAGGGGGATGTCAAATCTAGGGTTTTGAGCCTAGAAGCCTGGGGCCTCTGAGGAGGGAAGATCCTCTACCTTCACTGCCCTAGCCTGGGGTCACCAGGCATCCCTCCAGGCACTCGGCAGCCTCCTCACTATCTCCTCCACTCCTGCCTCCTTTAGTCCATTCTCTACACAGTGGCCAGAGTCAACTTTCATACTAGATCATGCCTTTCCCCTGATTAAAAACCTCAGTGCCTACCCCTGCTTCTAGAAGGAGCTCCACATTCCTTCCATGCCCAATAACGCCCTCCCTGGGCTTTCCTCTGCCCACCTCTCTACACTCACCTCTGGCCACCCTCCCCAGCCTCATGACCTTTGGCCACAGTGACCGCCTTCCTGTTCCTCTCACCGGCCAGTCCTTTCAGTGTTCCCTCTGCCTGCGATGCCCTTGCCCAGACCATCATAAAGCCACCTCCTATTCCACTTCCTCCTGGCTCAAGCACCACTTTCTCAGAGAAGCCTTCCTGGACAACCCTACCTAAGAAAGTCCCTTCCCCCTCCTCCCAGGTAGTCTCTGTTCGAATGGTTCTCAAAGCGAGCTCTCCAGACCAGCAGCATAGCAGCACCTGGAAAGTTATTAAAAATGTGAACTTGGGGGTTTTACCACAGACCCACTGAATCAGATTCTCTGGGTGTAGGGCCCAGTAACCTATCTAACAAGCCCCCCAGGCAATTCTGATGTATTCTGAAGTTTGAGAACCACTGCTCTATCATATCATCCAAATTAATACCTTCAAGATTCTTACCATCCTTTCTCATCATTTGCTTATTTGTATATTATTTATTCTTGCTCTCTTTTCACTGGACTGTAAGTTCAATCATGGTAGGGACTTAGTAATTCTTTCCACCAATGTATCCCCAGTATTGTGCACTGTGCTTGATATTTGCTAAGTCTTTTTTTAATCAATGAAATAATAAGTGGAATAATGAATAAATGAATGAATTAGGAGAGTGAGGAGAAAGGGATGGTTGGGATTAAAGATTATACCATTTCTCTGGGACCCACTGAGTTTGAGGAGTTGGTGGGAACTCCTAGGTGATATGGGTGGCAGTGTTCCCCTTCCCACTGTGTCTCCCTTATCAGTTAACTTTAGGCCTCTGGAAAGTTCTAAATATTGATAATAATGTGGGGGAGGGGCTCCAGGCTGTGTTGAGTTGGGAGATGTTTGTGCTTAGGCAGAGGGGATGATTCTGAGCTCACAGGCTCCCAACCCAGACAAGCCAGCTGGTTGGAGCAATGCCCCAGTCCTTCCATTGCTAGGGGATGCTGCTCTCCTGGCTGCACTAGGGCACTGGGGTGAGGCAGAGGGAGAGAGCACTCATGGAACTTCTGGAAGAGGATCTTTAGAGGGACAGTGTGCATAGGCCTCGCATCACGGTTGGGCATGGAGTACGTGGGCACGTGAGGGGGAGGTATGACGTAGTTCTTCCAACATGATAGGACTTGCAAGGGCCGTGCTACAGTACCTCCTCTCTCCCCCTCTGTGTTTCCTAGCTTATCTGGCGACTTCTGCTCCATGTCCAGAATGACATGCTGCCCTGCTGCTCACCTGAAGTTGAGGCCGGGCTTGGTGGACGATGGGGGTGAGCGTGATGGGCCACTGGTGCAGGAAAGCCTGCTCCCTGAGCAACATGCTCCTCCCCTGCCCTGGTGCCCTGGGTAGGGGACAGAGGGACCCAGCTGAGTCAGCGGGAAGGAGCAGGCTAAAAAGTCCAGTCTGGGATCTAGCCAGGGGAGCCCTGCTGGCTGAGAGAGAAGAGCGGAGCTGGAGATACTTATCTGGTCCCACCCACGGAAAGCCCAGGCCCAGGGGGCCCCACTCCCCTGCTGGTGTTCAAGGTCCTGCCTTGGTCACCGGCTCTTTGTCGCCTCACATCTGTCACTGAAGCCAGGCTGTCTCCTAAGTGCCCACCCATCATATTCCATGCTTTCCATTTCAACCTTGTCTGTGATATCTCCACCCCACCACCAGCTGCTGTCATTGCTCTGTCTCTAAGCCCTGCTACACTGGAAATTTCTGGAAGGTGAAGATTGAGCCTTATTTCTCTGTAGGTTCCCACAGGACCTAACAAGAGCTGGTATACAATAGGTATGCAATGAAACGTTAAGCAACTACATAAGATTAGGTGTCCTCCCTCCTTCAGGGCCCAGACCTGGGGCTCCCTCCCTATCCTCAACCCTCCTTTTCTCCCCACTCTTTGCAACATCTTCCATTTTACCTCTGTCTCCGTCCTCTGCACCTGAAGCCTTTAATTCTGTCTGTCCAGCTGGACATTGACTCCTCACAGTTCAGCACAGAGCTGGGCACACAATGAACTGGTTGATGAAGAATGTCCTTCCCATCCTGCCCACCCCCCAAAGTCATACATGAATGCATCTGGAGAAAGGAAGAGTCCATAGGAGTGAGAGGCCAATTTAATACTCTGCCTTGCTTCCTTGGGGGCTGGCATACCACACCCCCCTTCTCTACCTCCATGCCAGGCCTCCCACCTCTGACCTCTCCACAATCCTGGAACACTAAAGGATCGGCTTAAAGGTGAGAAAAGGGTAGATGAGGAAGAGTCTATGGGTTACCAGAGGCGCTCTCTCCCTGCATCCCTATGAATCCCATTTCTTGAGTTCCCCCACCCACACTGGCTCTGCCCCCTCCTACCTAGTGCCTGCTGTCCCCTACCCCCCACCCGCAGTTCCCGGCCCGGTGGCTGGGCCCTGCTCCCACCTTCGATGGGGGAGTTGATGAGGATGACACGGCCCATGGGCGATGAGGCTCGGATTCCGCGGAGGGGCCCATTCAGCAGACGCCGTTGCTTTCTCAGCAGGTATCGGGTTGCAGAGCCTGACTCGCTGCCCAGGTGGCCTCGGGAGGAGAGGGAGCTCAGAGAGCCCGAGCTTAGGTCTCTGAGGCCCACTGGGTCGAAGCCCACTGGGAAGCCATGCGCCATGGTGGCTAGACGGGGGTGGTGCCCTACAGGTCCAGAGGGAACCTGCTAGCCCTTGAGAGGAGGGCCCCACGTGCCCCAGGCTCCATGAGCCTTCTGTGCGGACTGGGATCTCAGGGACCTGGAGTCCCCGATCTCTGCTGCCTCTCAGGAGTGTGTGCTCCAGGCCTGCACAGGGAGAGCAGGGATTGGGGAAAGGGTGTAAATGCTGCCCCCAAGAACTTCCACCCCACTCCCTGCTTGGAGCATCCTGCCTCCCATGCCTTAGGCCTCTCACCTCTCCCACCCCCTGGCCAGAGAACTGCCCAGTTCAGCCACCATTGTGGACTTCTGGAGCCATTTATACAACAAGGTGGGTGAGAACCTCTCTTTCACCCCTAGTTCCTGCTCTCAGCTGAGTCATCTACTCCGGTAGGTCCCCAGTCCTCAGTAGAGGTTGAGAGAGTGGAGATGGGATTATTGCCGGCCCTAGGGCTGCAAGCAGTGTGAGAGAAACTTGGACCTGGACAGTTCGCTGAACCACCCCTCCTGTGTATGTGGGTAGGGGGCCAGCCCCAGGGACTCGGGCCTCGAGGGGCTTCAGAACCTGGGGCAGCTGCAGCCAAGGGCCCCAGAGATCCCCAGGCCCCAGGCTGCGGTCCCCTCTGTCCCCCCTTCCCTCCCGTCCAAAGAGGGGCGTGAACCTCTCCCAGCCTTGGGGGAAGGACCTGCTGGCGAGAGCCCCCCAACATCCCGCGCAAAACCTGGGCCAAATCCCTCAGAGCAGCTCCTGTCCCCAGAACGCAGCACCCTACCCCCGGCTCGGTCCTCCCGGCCCCCCTCACCTGCTCGCGCGTGCTGCAGCCGC